AAGGGTGTTGTTTTCCATCACGATAACGTAAGGCCCCACACATCTTTGGTTACTCGGCAAAAATGATTGGAACTGGGTTGGGATGTTTTGTCACACCCACCATATAGCCCTCACCTTGCGCCTTCGGATTACCATTTGTTTCGTTCCATGCAAAACTCTTTAAATGGTAAAATTTTTAACAACGCGGATGATGTCGGATCACACCTAATTCAGTTTTTTAATAACAAAGACCAGACATTTTACGAACGGGGAATTTTTACTCTGCCAGAACGATGGAAAAAGGTCATCGACAAGAACGGCCAATATCTAATTGAATAAAGTTATATTTATAAACGGAAATTCCGAATTTACCTTCTTATTTGAAATCGGCAATGACTTAGTTGCCAACCTAATACCTCCATGTAGTGTACCCTGGGCAATGTATACTCATACGGAAAAAAGCCTATTTACTTGCAGTTGACTTCTGGCTTCTAACTACCATCACCCCACTTTATGTCATATTCGACTACTTTCACAGCACTCACCTCACCTTTTTTCTACCTTTGTGTCTGTCTCTCTTTTGCATCTATGAATCACTCTTCTGTCAATCCTCCCGAATTTTTGACACTTTGATGTTCCTCCTTCTCTTTGTGACGCCCGAAGTCAGCTAAATGGCTAATGATAACTATCGAAATACCTGCCATTTGAAATAAATAAATATTATAGACGTATGTACTTCTTTGGTTATTTTTATTTACTTCAAACCTAAAGTGGCAGTCTTAAAATTAGTAGATCAACAAATGAATGCTCAAGATTAAGAGATTTTTAAGTCGCTTTTAATGTAGGAGCATCATGTTATTAAAAGCGGGCCATTTCTCCACGTCATTCAAAATAAACTCAAATATATATTCTGACTTAACTATTTTAAACTACATCAAAAGATGAAAGAATTCAAAAAATGTGTTTTTAATTGAAATGTAATAATAATGTAATCATAATTGCAAAAGATATATTTGAGCAATCTGATAATACTCATCACTTGCATAATTCTTTATTAATTCTGGAGTCAATCAATGCTATCTAACCTCGTTTAATAAAAGCTAAAGAATTGTATTTAGGACTGATTATTTGAGCAATTAGTGATCTCATTTTGTCCACTTATCTGATCAGTAATTAGCTGTAAAACCAAATTGTCGAATTACCATCATTTTAAAATCATCTATCCACAATGTGGAATTCTAAGGCCCTTCAATGGAACTAATTGAAGGAGATGTGAATGATTTCAGGTACCATCGAGATAATATTTATCTTATTTCAGAAAGCCTAGCATTCAATTCATTGGCAAACAATGTCAACATTCTATATTGCATGCCATGATTTATGTGTGCGTGCTTGTTTCATCCGTTTAGAAGATTTGAATAGAAGATTTCAGGGATTATATTACAACTTTAATAATTTATCATAATTTTGAAATATGACTAAAAGTTATCAAAAATTGAGAATCGCAGTGTTAAGAACAATGAATACTGAAAATCACGAGGAAGAATTTACTCTGAAAGGAGACGACTTTTGAAATTCGGGGAATGAAGGAATGGTATGTTCAGCGTGCAACCATAACCCAAAAACTGTTAATTTCTTATAGGGTCTTCTTTTCAGCGCACTAATCAAGATACGTTTTATCCTTCACGTTTTTAGATTATCTCGCACAATGGGACTGAGTTGTTTTTGTAAGTGCCAGGGATTAAGGGAATGTCAAGACCATATTGATCTATAATCAGAAATCACATTCATGATCGACAAGCAATGAACGCTACGTCAATCATTTAATCGGGTTAAAGGGTGTTGTGGTAACTGAGACAGATATCGCATTTCATACAATAGTAAATCATTCTCAGAAATTGAACACACTTAAGGAGTTGATTGAAATAGAATCTCTTTTCTTTTCTATATCTTGGAACTATAAATGCAGTAGGTTAAAGCAACAGCATTTTTTCTTAAAATTAGATTGATTTTTTCGTGTTTTGTTCTCCAGATTTTTTTTGATATGGCATATCCTTTTGGTGCATCTTGTATTAAGTATAGAAAAGACTAGGAAAAAAAAACAAACTTTCATCTTTTCACTACTCTAAGAGGTGGCATTAATCCAATTTCCAAGTTCAGAATTGTTTCTAAGCCCTAAAAGACTTACCTACCGCTGAAATAAAGCTAAAGTATACTTTAGGTTCTGATCAATAAGTGTAGAAAACGAAAATATCTCATTAGAATATCTAAGTTAGAAACCAGAGAATTGTGAATTGTATCCAGCGGATGGTCAATTGGTCGCTCATCGACTTTGTCAACACTCCAAACAGCTTAACAGTTACTTGGATCAAAATTTCCATCAACCTAGCAGTGCCCTGAACTGCAAGCATCAGGTTTCCTCCACCCACATTGTCTAATTTGAATTTGGGCAACGTCTGGAGTAATTGTGGTCTCGATTTCCTTTCCTTCTCTCTTAATGGATCATGTTCACTTTGTTCGGCTCAACCTTGAAGTATCAGTGTTGAAATGGTCATACTTTACTAATTGCTAATCAAGGATTTACGTCAGTTGTCCGAATTCCATGGACGTTAGACGCTAAAACTTCCTTCCTAATCGCGAGTTACAATGCCCCAATATTTTGGAAATTAATCAAATAAGAGTAACCAATCTAGTTTCTTTGCCACTGAAATTTGAACCATTATGAATTAAATGATTTCTATGGGAGACAAAACTGGTATCAAATCAGGTGACTATTTAAATGAGCACTTAACTGAGAGTCCCACTTTTTACTGATTGCCTTAGGGCCAATCTGGTGAAGTTTATTTAGAATGCAAAGCAGTTTGTAGCTTGGCTTGTCTAACGCTGGAATTTCAATTTGTTAAGCGCTTTAAAGAATAACTCATAGATTGGTTACCATAGCAACCTATTCTTACTTCCGCGAGAGCATATCTACACTTTCTTAAAATAATATAGTGATATTCGTAATGCTAGTTGGAATAATTTTGGATTTCTGAGTTCGTTGCGATAGTACCTTTGAAGAATGGACAAGCAATGGAAGCAGAATTTGAATAAAAATGAAAGTGAATGTAAAGAAAATCAAACAGTCCGGCGTAAGAAACTTCTTTGATAGCAGGAGTTTACTTAATCACTTAATTGGGCTTCTGGTTTTATAAATTAAGGGTTTGCAATATCTACTATATTTAGAACTGATTGGTAATTTAAGTTAATTGGTGGTGTTGTGTGTGCATATCTTCTAATTAGCAAAAAATGCAGCTAGAACATTTGGGGTCCAGAAATCATTTATTTCGATTTTAGAACAGGAAAGGAAGAGCGTCGGCTGGCATCCGGCTTCCACCTGGGATGGAACAAAGCCAGGTTTGTCAGATTATTGCAACATAGGTGTGCTCTATGCTATTGGAGAGACAGAGTTGTTAAATCACCATCTAAAAGGCTTCATTTACGATTGAGACTTACCAAATTTTGGCAGTGGGAATTTTGCTTAAGTATTTTATACTTTTACGCAATGAGAATTCTGGTAATTAATGCGATCATACACTAGCCCTAGTAGTTTTTCATTCCTTTTAGAAGTGTTTGAGATCATGAAATAGTTCAAAAGTGATTTATATCGACACTCTCCTTGGTGGTGTGGGGAAGGGGAAGTGTATTGTGCAATAAGATTATTCATGAATCGTGCTGGTTCTAGTAAGGTACCAAAGCCACATCAATCATTAACTCCAACGATTGTGCTTTGCTGATAACTTCCTCGTGCCTGCAAATGGCCGTTTTACAACAAATTGTGTGTATAATCACCATAGGAACGCCACTGTCATTGGTTGTTAGTAAGTCGTCGCTTAGTTAAGTATGGCCTCACAGTTTTGTAAATATTATTCGGTGAACATTTCAGGTGAGTTTAATTCTGCATAGCAAAGTGTGACAAATCATAACTCGTGTCTAAAAACACGACTTATATTTGCTAATTAATCTATAGGTCACAATGGGATGTATTATATCCTGTGGTTTGAAGCTCATCCTTCAAATTCTCAATATCGTCCTTTGCGTATGCAAAAATTTTCTCTATTCACCTACTCTCTGTTTAAGGAAGATAAAGATTCACATATAATATTTTTTACTTTTAGGTTGCCTTCCTAGGCGTGGCAGTCTTCGGAATTATATTGAAGGCCTCAAAATCTGCGGTTCAGAATATAATCACAGGCATTTTTGAACATTTTAAGATAGGAGATGACGATATGCGCCAATTGGCCAAATTTATAGTCGATAACGCTGGTGAGAAACCTTGATATAATACTTAAAATGAGTTTGTTATGAAAATAAAATTTATTAATGCTTGGACAATTTTGTAGACGGAATCGCAATCATTCTCATTGTGCTTGGTATCGCTCTCGCTACTTTGTGTCTCGTTGGGTGTATTGCTTCATGTTGCGGTTGTAATATACTACTTAAAATTGTGAGTAACATGGCATTATTCATTTGTTTTCTACAAATCGGATTGCACTGACTGTGAATTCCTGCTTAATATAGTATGCAGTAATTTTGATAATTCTCGTGGTGGCACAAATTATTGCCGTATCAGTTCTCTTTTCTGATTCGAATCGTCTCTCCGGCCTACTTGTTGAAGCCATGAACAAACTTCTACCAGCCTATGGAGAAGCATCCGATGGAGGACAAACCGCACTCAGTGTTTGGAATATATTAATGACGGTAGGACAACATTTACCGTTAAATATTTAAAATATCAAAATATCTTAATTGGAAATCTCATAGAGTTTTGCTTCCTCTAGTTTGATAAACTATGCTGCGGTATGGATGGGTATGCCGATTTCAGTAAGGATTACCTTTTTAAATACATTGACTCGCCTAATCTTTACATTTACACTACGTTTTGATATATTTAGAAAATCTCACAATTCTACCACCTCAATGTTGCAACTCAACTAACCCTCCTTTGGCTTGCGATCCAGTCAGGGCTGAAAGTGTCAAAATGCCCGGTTGCCGTGACAAAATTGTCACTTTCATCTCAGATAACCTCCAGACTCTGCTATATGTTTCTGTTGGTGCTATCCTACTGCAGGTAAGAAAAAAATCCACTGTGGCTGAAAAGCTTTCCCATGGATTTTTGCTTTTTCTTTGCATTCATACGTTTTCTTTGTTTTATTCTTAACCTAGGTCGCCCTTATCGCGATCGTGTTCCTCTCCATTTGCCTGTAGGCTGTCAGTAGCCCTCGAGGTTGTTCTGGAGCATGAAATGAAGTAGAAATGACATATTCGCATATCATTTTTGACTTTCCACATTGACATCTCTCTCTCACTCATTTTAACCGATATTGCTTGCTATTTTACTTATTTCTGTAATAATAACATATTTTGTCGAATAGCCAGAAAAAGGCAGAAATAAAGATTAATTTGAGTTAGTTCAACACTTACAGAAAATTTTTAATGAAGTTTTCCAAATGGAATAATCTTTGCATCAGGAAAAAAATTTATCTTAAAAATGAAAGCTTATTAAAGTGTATGGTGTATCTGATGGGCGTTCAATTTGTAGCGGATTGCTGCCCTAATAATGCCTTGACTAACTCAGAAATCCCCGCAGCAGATCTTCCTAGTGAGAAAAAACGTTTATAGCAAATTATGGTGTTGGTAAACATGATTAATGATCAAATAAGTTTAGCATAACTTGAGATTAAGCTAACAGTAAAGTAAGTGAGCAATGTTTTTGCACGCACGGCAGCACACTCCCAAATGTTCGGGCGCATTTTATAGTGTGCGGTTTGCGTATTCTACATTGCCACAATTCTAGAGTGTTTTAGAGGAGAATACGCTCAATAATTTTACATATTCAGCCAGTCGTGAGTAGATGGTAAGTCTTCGGCTACAACGAGTGTTACGGGGATGGAGTCAAGGTGGAAAATGTGTTGGAACAATACCGTTCGAAGTATTTTCGGGAAGGGACTGTAATGGGGGGGGAGAAGATGAGAGTACAATATCTCTTAATGAATGGATAGTTGGCCTAGACAGTTGTGTTCCAACGGTGGGCGTAGATGTGCCAGAAGTCTGTAGACACGTCGGTTTTAAATTGTCGATACTTATGGAATCCTTTGTTCCATTACGATCAAGAATGATAAATTAGGGTTTGCTTAAGAGGATGTTATAAAGTCTATCATGGGGGCAGTTGTACAGGTTTCTTCACTGCATCCATTTGAACTAAAATGAAGGGGCATGTGAAACAGTTTTTATGAATATGTGCTGGTTTATCATTCAAACGGGCGGAACAAGACGATGGGTCTAGGGAGATTTGAGCCTGGGAATTTAAAATCATTTCTCCAAGCAGCCGGAGCGTTGTACCAAGGAAATTTTTCTCCGGGGAAACCCAAGATCATCCCTCGTAGTGTTTTTGAATGATAGGAGGATTATGGGTAGCTGTTCTGACGATTGGGATTCAGAAGAATTAAAGATAGTGGTTGATTTGAGCTGTCGATGAAAATGTTCGATTAGACCATTGGCTTCCGTATGATAGGCGGTGGCGTAACTATGTGTTGAACCCAAGAGGTTGTTAAATTCGCGGAATAAGACAGAAGTGAACTGCAATTCTCTGTCTATTGTGATTGCGGATGAAACACTGAATATGGATAACCAAGATTTCTTCAGGGCTATAGCCACCAATGTAGACGAGGTGTCGCGTAAGGGAACGGCGATCGGCCAGCGGGTGAAGCAATCGATGCAAATTAAGATATGGGTCCTTTCGGATGTTCTTCCAAACGAAACGGTCTGTGGTTAACTTCGTCATAGAATAAATGTTTAAAAGCTGCAAAACATGGAAATGTTCGAAAATCTTCCGGCGATGTGCTTACGGCTGGAATGGTCTACGTTTGCCGGTTGAATGGTCAGAGTTGGGTAGAGGTAAACAGTTGAAACGTAACAAAAGGTCAGACGTAATTTCTTTAAAATCTGAAACCGACCTTTGTTCGGTATCCAGGACTTGCAGATCGAGAGAGGACGCATCAGTTTGGTTCACTTCCATGCGAGACATCCCATCGACAACCACGTTGCTAGTGCCGTAGATATGTCGTTCGTTTTAAGTGAATTGCGAGATGATATCCAAATGCCTGTTTTCTCTAGGAGAATTGGGGTCTGAGGTGGCCCAAGCAGCATAAATCAAAGGCTACTG